AAAAATTATCTTTACATGTAATTGGAAAAAATAAAATATTATTAAAAAAAAGAAAAAGAAACCAAGGTGACCCATACCACAATCAAGTATCACAGTAGAGCTTAAGACAATAATGAGAGATTAATTTGAATACTGGAATGGACCCTAATCTACTTTCCAAGTTTGCTATGTTTCTGAACTCCATTCCAAACTAGGATATCTGAAGTACCTACCTCACAGGGTTGTTGTAAAGATCAAATACTTGTCACAGGACTATTTGGTAGCATGTAAAGAAAGTGCTATATTTGAAGTTAGAACATTTAAGTCCAGAACCCAGTTCTGCCACTTAAAACCTATTTGATTTTGGGAAACCATTTACCCTCCTTACACCTCAGTTTTTTCATCAATAAAATGAGAGGATTAGACTAAATGACCTTTAAGGTTCATTTTTTGATATAAGTCTATGATCCCCTGTCCTGTGCCCTAAATAACAAAGAACATTCCTAAGAACCTCTCTAACGATATCCTACAAGATTCTTAACTTCTCCATCCTAATGTCAAATTATGTCACTAAAATTCCAAGCAAAGAATCACAATAATCATCAACTTACCTCTGTCTTTTGTTCCACTTATCTGATCAGTTTCCAAATCATTCCATTTCTTTCCAACTTCTATATTTATTCCCTTGACCACTGCCTCAGTCTAAGCATGTCATTACTCAACAGACTCCATAAATTCCTAGAATGGCACAGCTAGAGAATACCTTACAAACCATCTGATAGTCTATTCACCTAATTTTATAGATTAGAAAACTCCGAAGATGAAGTGGAGGGTCCATGATCAACAGTTAGTAGCAGTATCACTGGAAGTATATAAAATATTTAAAAAGTATATACTAAGTAATACAAACTAATTTCAAAAGGAAAAGAGTGCTAATAACACAGGGTAAAGAAGAATTAGGAAAAGTCTTATGTAGGGGTTGGCACCTGAATTATGCTTTGAAGAAAACCAAAGATTCTATGAGGCAGGAATATATTCCAGACATAAGGGACTACTTGTACAAAGACAAGGGGGAAGGAGATGGAATGTCTAGTATAGGAAAGACATAGCAGCCAATTTGACTGGAACAAAGATTGCATTAAGGAGAACAACGAAATAAGACTAGAAACATAGGCAGGCACAAGTTTGTACCTGTGAGGGCTTTTAAATGTAAATTGATATTTTATTAGAGGCAATAGACATTGAAGATTTCTGAGTAGGGGAGTGAAATAAATGTTCAGATCTATGTATTAGGAATATTAACAAAGGCACTAGCAGGACAATATCAGATTTCCTAATTAATAAAATCAGGAAATTAAGATTATCTAGAAGGAGCTTTCTAGTTCTAATGTGAACACTCAGTAACTGAGGGGAGAAAGGAGGTGCTGTTCTCTCTTGCCCTGATTACCTTATTCTTTGCCTTTTGCATTTTCCTTTTGTAGGCTCCAGCTCACATCTCTGTAGTAGGTCCAAGCATTAAACACTAGAGGTTAAATGATTTGGGGATCACAACAATAATACTCAGACGGATCTCATCAACTCAGGAATTCCCTCCAAAGATGCAGATCACAAATAATTTCCCATTCTGTGTGACTCTTGTCAATGTTGACCCACAGGTTTGCCACAGGGCATATAACCAATGTACTAAAAGCCTTCCTCCTAACCAGGGCATCTATAGGGCACTCTGGCTGTCCAGCCATCATCCCCTGCTTTTGCCCATCTTCTCCTCCTGTTATACAGTTGCTTGTTGACATCTCTTACTCTTGTTGTCCTTCATATTTCCTTATAGGTTATATGCTGCAGTTTGCTCATAGCCACCACTGTCCTCTGCATGATACTCATCTTCAGTTTTTCAAAGGCAGAAGTGCTCCATGTTAGCATTGAAAAGAAGGGCCTTTGCTATCATGGGAAGCTTGGGGTCAGTAAAAGAGCTTTACAATTTTATCTATTTAATAACAAGAACAACTAAGGTGCACACTGTGCCTAAACAAATGGAGTTATTGGTGTTTTAGTAAGTTTTTACCCCCTTTTAATTACTTCCTTTTAATTCCTTTGGCGGTAGGGAGGACTGAAAATGTGCTGCAGGATGAGAGGCAAAAATAATCCAAAAAACATTTTCAGCCATGAAATAAAACTACTGTCCCAGTGTAATGATCCAGAGGTGAGGGAAAGAACTGATTCTCTTTTTCATACAAATAAAAACTTCTCAATGATTAATCTTCATTAATTTGATGAGTAATCTTCAATAAATAATGACCCCCTACAAATCGAGAGTTTTGTCTAAATTAGTATTGTATCTAAATGCAGCATTTTATACAGTGATAGACCTCTCCAGTAACATTTGAATATTTCTTTCTCGGGACCCCTTTAGCTTCTGAGTGTTGCTTAGATGGGTAACTATACCTATTTCTTGATATCAAGCCTAAGATCCTTTTCCTTTGTTTTGAAGCCCTAGATTATGTTTTACTTCTTTCATTATTTTCTGTAGATAATTCAACCTTTCCATTGCTCCCAGGGTCACCTTCTCAAGTCTTGTTACTCTACTCCTCCCACCTGGCACTTCCAAAAGCAATTTAAAATGTACCTGCAATATTCTTCCTCACCTAGCCTACTAAGAAGCTTTCAAGATTGATAAGAGAAGAAATGGCTACTTCTTTTCACCCTACCCTTAACTTATGATATAAATCAGACCTTTTCCAGTCATGTATAAATACTTTTGTTCTACTGCCTACTTCTTATACACACACATTCACATCAGTTGATTTCTTATATTGCAAGCTTTTAGAATATAAAAACTTTATTTATGTAGTTCTATTTCAAAAAGGTCAAGTGCAATGATGAAACAGGCAATTTTCATCTGTGAATCTGTCATCAAAATGTAACACAATTTCTTGCTTCTTTGTATTTTGGAACTAGTTAAGCTGACTTGCCTGTTTAACCCAAAAAAACCCAACCAAACATACAAAAAAAAGTAAGCAAAGAATTACACATATTCCTGTACTAAGAAATGAAAAGTAATGTTTATGGTAAAAAGCATAGTAATTTTCAGAATTAATTAATGTAGTTTTCTTTGCTGGTTTCTTGCCTTGAAAGATCACAAATCATGAAAGCTTATAAGTTCAGAAAAAGGTCTCCCCAGCTAATTATCTAATTGCTAAATATATGGCCTATTTATTGCCATGATAGCACAAAAAGAAAAGAGCACTCATTACTTTCTGCCCTAAAGCTGATGTGGAGATGTGTACTATTACTGAGCAATATTATTGCTCTCTAACAGTTCTCTGTTAAGAGAACTACTCCATTGCTACTCTGTAGCAATTTAATTTCATTGGATTATGAATGCCAATTTACTTATATTCACATCAGTAAGGTACTAACACTATTAATTTGCCACAATCAAACAAAATCAAGTTGGAGCCGATCATTTTAATTTAGGTTAACATCTAATACAAAGAACCTAAGAAGAACTTGAGAAATATTAATGTAGTTAAGAAATGAAGGTTCAAAAAGGAGCGAAATTTCCTCCCCTTTCTCCATAGCTATGGTGCATGAAAAAATGTTTTGAAACAAAGCAGGTATCTAAATGAAGCCATTAACCATCATTGTTAAAACAAAACAAAACAAAAAAACAGACACAGAACCTGAAAAAATTGTATTTATTACTCCTGCATCTAAAAGGCAGTGTGACTCAGTGGGCAAGTTACTTCTCTGGGCCTCTGTTTCTTCTGTCAAACAGGGGTCTGGCCTAGATTTCTCATGTACCTACTAAGTCTAAGTCTTATGATTTTAATGCAATAATAAGTAAATTATTGAGCCAGTTAGCAAAAACAACGATGCCACATGCTCACTCAATTTGGACCCTGCAATAAATCAATCAGATTTATCTCAATTTTCCTGAGCACTCCTTCAGAGAAGTTTTATTTGAATTCCTCAAAAGCTAATGACCCTGAAAGATACTTTGTAGCTAGAAGGGTTAAGGGGGAAGGGAGCACGGGACTGGAACCACAGTCAAGTACAGCTAAATCAAAGAAGAAAAACAAAACAAAACAAAACATAAGGAATGCCCACTTAAACTTGCCACTACCTAGTATCATAACCTAGAGTGTTACTCAAAATTTCGGCATTCAGCTTAAACAACTAAAAGATCACAACTACTACCTGATTTAGAAGATACAGCACTTGAAATCCTTATGATACAAACCAGGAAGAGGATTCATTCATTCTCAGACTTACAGCAACTTTCATTCTGACCAGAATGAGACATTTATTTTATGAAATAGAGAATCAGTTCTTTCCTTCACCTCTGGGACAGTAGTTTTATTTCATGGCTGAAAATGTCTTTTAAATTATTTTTGCTTCTCATCCTGCATCTCATTTTCTCTCCTCTCTACCACCAAAAGAATCAAAAGGGAGTAATTGAACGAGATAAAAACTTAGCCAAACACCAATAACTCCATTTGTCTAGACAACTTTTCCCCCCATGAAGCCTCCCAAGTACCCCGTTCTCACTATTCTTCAATCTAGAATTTAATTACATATGATCTAGTGTTGTTCTTACACAGCTTTATGGGAGTTACATCGAAACACTAAGACAAGCTATCCCCCTATCCCCCACAATACCTTAACTGGGTGCTCAGATGGGTCCTGGTACTGAGGCTGTCATCATTTGGGAAAAGAAAGAGGGTGAGGGAACAATAGACGTTTTACTAATTGGGGGGTGCCCGGGGCTCCAACACACTAGGGACACTGAGCTGGGATGTTACTGTTGTGATACCCGCTAATCATCCTTTTGTAAGCAATGCCTCCCAGCACTTCGCACACCTTTTGGGGCCGGGGGGGGGGGGGGGTGGAAGGACCTTTTTTCTCTCTCGCGAAAGGCCGCGGCGGCGGCGAAGAGGATGCCACGAAACCCGGACTAGGCTGCGCTCCCTCCCAGGACCCCCCAGTTCCTGCCAGAGGCCGGGGCAGGGGGAGGGCAGTACCTGCAGCCGGACATTGAGCATCATGGAGGCCACGATGTAGAGGTAGGGAAAGTTGATGCGAAGCCGCCAGGCCAGGTCGAAGAAGATGAGCAGGGTCCGGGTCAGCCCCTTGCAGAAGACTCCATAGGAGCGGGCGGCGGCTGATCGGGAGAGCCAGAGAGCAAGGGCGGACAGGGCCGCCGCCATATACCCCACAGCCGCCTGCCCCGCGACCGCTCGCCCGCTGCCCTGGGGCCAAGGGAGGGAGCGCGGCGAGCCCGCGGGCCTGAGCAGGGCAGGCGCCGGGCTGCGGGGTGGGGCGCGAGGGCTCAGCCGCTGGGCCCGGCGCCGCGGCTCCTCCTCTCCGGGGCTCCGGCCGCGGCAGCCGCTGCCTCCTTCTGCGTTGCTGCGGTTCCGCCCCGGGGTGCTCCGCCCCGGGATCCTCCACCCGGCCACCGCCCCCCAGCCGGGACGCCCCAATCTACTGCCCCAGGCGGGGCGGGTGAGGGGGAGGGGGAAGGAGGTGGGCGGGGGAAGGAGGAGACGGGGCGGGGGGAGGAGGAGGAGGAGGAGGAGGAGGAGGAGGAAGAGGAGGAGGAGGCGAACACCTCTGCGTCACGCCCGGCGCAACGTCTGGGACGTGCCGCGGCTCCGGTCCAAAAGTCCTGGCGCTGATTACGTCATAATACTCGACAGCGAAATTCGGTGCCTGCGCACTCTCCTTTCTTTCTGCCCTGGCTTCGCACCCCTAGCCTACCTTCTGCCAGGTGCATGGAGCATGGAGCATAGAGCATGACGCATGCGCAGATACGTGTCTCCTGGCTTGGGCGAGGAGAGCATGTAAGCAATTTAAAACACAAAAGCATTGTCTTGATATACCCTCTAGTGGCTGACTTAAAAAAAAAAAGTAAAATGTGTTTTTTTGGTTACATTCGGTAAATGGAACGATATAGTTATAATAAATGTGAAGAACTTTTACTTAAAAATTTTATTGCATTTGTCCGCTAATAATAAACAAATTACTCCCAATAGTAAACAACTTTGACAGCAGAGCAGCTAACATTCCAAACATAGCTCAGGAATCTCTACCAGTAAATTGAGTTCCTAGGTTTTTCTGGGAAAACTTCTCAAGAAATTAGTATGCTACTTTGGGGGCACCAAATATTCTGTAGTTCTACCTATCTTGTTACAATGAGAGTAACTGTATTTAGTTTCTGCATTTTCTGGTTTTGAATCCATTTGTGGCTTAATTCTTAATATGAAAATCAATCAGCAAACACTAAACATCTACTATGCACCAGTTACTGGGGATACAAAGACAAAAATGAAACAATCTCTCCACTAGAGGAGATTACATTCTACCAAGGGAGAAAATTCGTATATAAATAAGAAAAATAAATTTGAGAAGTAAAAAGCTATCTTTAAAAAATAGTGTCTAAGAAAAAGATTCAGAATTCCAGAACACATGTTAAAATAAAAGGATTATGAAAAGATTCCTGGACAAAGTTGGAGTAACAAAAGGCTGGCAAAAACTTATTGCTGGATGTCTTTCAAATCTAATGAAAAGGATATTAAACTATAATGGATAGGAGAGAGAGAAGACTGCTTATGCATATCCCTCAAGCTAGATACCATAAAGAATAGCTACAATGAAAAAAAGAGTAGCAGTTAAGACACACAGAAGCTTACTAAAGGTAATATCCAAGAAAAAAAGCCAGTAGTAAAACCCATGGCCTTGATAGTCCATACACAAATGCCCATAGTTTAGGCAGCAAATAAAAGGAGCTAGAGTTCTTTAAAATCGGGTAGACAAATTAAACTTTATAAGTATCACTGTGAATCATGACAGTCCATGAATAAATAGATTATGGCTCTGGATGGTTATACCTAATAAAGAGGAATAAAAAGATAGGTAAAATGGGAGGGGGTAGCATTCTATATTAAGAAGACATACAAATTTGAAGAAATCCAGGAACCAGAGTGAGAAAGCGTGATGGAGATTATTTGGGTAAAAGTCAATGGAAAGAGAACAAAAGTGATTTTTGTCATTGGAATATAATACAGACCACCTGGGCAAAAAGATGAACTAAATGAAGAGTGTGGGAACCCAATCCCATGTATGGCACAGTGGTGTTAAATCGCAGTGATGGGGGTTTTAAATTTAAATTATCTGGATGTTTACTGGAGTCTCCCTCTCTCTCTCTCCTGTTCTCAAAAGCATACCAGCTATAAAATTCCTTGCATTACCTTAGTGATAATTTCAGCCTTTAAAAGATGGAGAAATTTTATTCACTAACAGGGAAGACCTGGATGGAACCCTGGAGGTGAACACTCCTTTCTAGCATCTGTGATAAAAGAAAGGAAATCTAGACACAGTCTCACATGCAGCCTATATTTTAGAAAAATAGATTTCTAAGGGTTCAGAGAAAAAAAAGGATTCCATGTACTAAAATGTCTCTGAGGAAATCAGCCCAGGAGGGAATTCTGAAAGTACAAAAGGGAAACAATCCCAATAAGGAGAACAAAAAGGATTTGTCTAAAGCAGTGGTTCTTAACCTTTTTGAGTGTGTCAGGGAGCCCTTTGGAAAATCTGGTGAAGCCTATGAATCTCAAGAATAATGCTTCTAAAATAAATAAAACATATAGGATTACAAAGGAAACCAATTATAATGAAATATAGTTGTCAAAATATTGAAAACACCAAGTTTACTGAACCCCAGGTTAAGAATTCCTGGTCTAAGAAAACTAAAATGACAAATGCTGGAGGGGATGTGAAAAAACTGGGATGCCTAATGTAATAGTAGTGGAGTTGTGAATTGATCCAACCATTCTGGAGAATAATTTGGAACTATGCCCAAAGGACTGGAAAACTGCATATCTTTTGACCCAAGAATACCAATACTAGGTCTGTATCCCAAAGACATCAAAGAAAAAGGAAAAGACACTATTTGTGCAAACATTTATAGCAGCTCTTTTTGTAGTAGCAAAGAATTGGAAATTGATGGAATGCTGATCAACTAGAGAATGACTGGTGGTATATAATTGTAATGGGAAGTGTTATATGAACTAATGCAAAGTGAAGTGAGCAAAAACAGGAGAACATTGTACTTAGTAACGGCAATATTGTAACAATGATCAACGATGGAAGACTTTGCTACTCTGATTAAGATAATGATCCAAAACAATTTTGAACTCTCAGTACTGATTGAAGCATACTTTTTTCACTTGTTTGTTGTGTGTGTTTTCTTTTGCAAGGTGGCTAGTATGGAAATATGTTTTGCATTACTTTTCATTACTTGCAAATTACTTTGCATTATACATATATAATCAATATCATATTGCTTGCCTTCCCAAGGGATTGAGGAGGAATAGAAGGGAGGGAAAAAATTTGGAACTCAAATTTTTAAAAATGTTTAAACATTTAAACATTTAAAAATAAATGTTTTAAAAATTTTAAATGTAAGTGGGAAATATTTAACAGAACAAATTATATTCAAAGTTTAAAAAAAAAAGAACCCCTGATCTACAGAGATTGGTGTGCCTGCACAAGGAACTCACTAACCAAATCAAATTTCAAAGAGAAATGTACCAAAAAAATGGAAGCAAGATTAGTTAGTAACAGAAGATGAATACAAAAGTGTGGTATGGCCCTGTCAAAAATGTCATGGATGCCAAAGCTCCAGAAGAGGTGAGGTTGAAGAAGGGAACTAAGGGCAACAAAAAAGGTTGGTTTTTAATAGCTATATTGAAAGAAAAAGGAGGATCAAAGAAAGGATAAAACCTTCATTTGAGATGGTAACAACAGAGACTAGAAAAAGATGCTCAACCCTTATTTTTGAGTCTGCTTTTTTTCTGTAAAGGGGTATGACTGAAAATGACAAAACAAAAATGACAAAGATGTAGACAAGATGAGTAACAACATGTCACAGGCTTTGGAGTGTGTCCAGTTTGCCTGATAGAAGAGTAGTCAACTTTGGTTGGCTGCTTAGTTGAAATAATGATGATGATAGCTAACACTTTATAGTGCCCACTATTTGCCCAGGCACTTTACTAAGGCTTTACAAGTATTATCTCAAGTGATCCTCACAATAACCCTGGAAAGTAGCTGTTATTATTACCTCTATTTTGCAGCTGAGGAAACTGAGGCAAACAGAGGTTAAGTGACTTGTCCAACACACAGCTAGAAAGTGTCTGAGGTCAGATTTGAACTTAAGACTTCTTGACTCTGGATCCAGCACTCTTATCCACTGAGCCACCTACCTATTCTCTTAACAAGGGGAAATAGGCTGCCTCTTTAAAAACTGCTAGACTGGGAGTCTCAATCTCTCTCACTGTCTCTCTATGTATTTGTTATATTTTTGAAGTAAATATTCCTGTGTAAAACTAATCCTACTGTTAGTGGCTGAATGGAACTGGGATGCAAATGACCCCTGCCCTACACTTGAGAATACCATTGGTGGTGGTTGAAGTCATTGACAGAGAGCCTAGACTACCCCAAACCCCTTAAGAGTACTGGAGAACCCTAAAGGAGGGATAAGATGTGACAAACTTGCCTTTCAGGCAATAGAAGCCAGGGTAATCAGTGTTACAAATATAATTAGAAAGTACCTAGTTGCCTTTGATGAAATTTAAGTCACCTGGCCTAAATGAAAAAAAAATTCTCGGGTCTCAAAAGAACTGATAAATGTAATTATGGAGCCACTATCTAGTGTGGTGATAGAATTAGTGTATATCAAGAATACTGTGGATAAAGTTTACCTAGCTTTCAGCACTTAGGCTCTGGGTACCCTCTCTCACCTATTTCTTTCCTCAGGAGACTAGCAGTAACCCTGGAGGGTTATAAAGACTAATATTGGCACTCATGAACTCCTACCAGTATGTTTCCAGCTGATTAACAGTTAGCCAGAAAGACATAATTAGCTTTGAGAAATGAATATTTACTAAGGTGGGACAGTAAGGACAGCTGGTACAACATATTCCCCACCAAAGAAGTAGAGTCTAGGACATATACTCCCACGAGAACATACAAAAAGCTTAGAGAATACATGTGTCGAAGGGCGTGGCTCGCAGCTTCTGATTGCTAAAGACTCCAGTTCTCCCCTTTGTGGTATCTTTATGAAATTTCCCTTAAGTATGCGGCTGCTCTCTGTTAAGTTACTTGTAAGGTCGTGAAGCTGCCTTTCCTCAAGGCACCTAATTTGTCCTCT